ATTTTATAAATACTTTTACCAATGGCTAGTTTATAAAAACAATTTATGTTCTTCAGAAAATTAACCATTTTGATTAATGGAGCATTTAGTATATTACAAACATAGAAATATTAGGGGCAAATCAACACCTACCAAAATGTCTGGAATGATGAATGGGCAGATGTGGTTGGAGGTTTCAAGTCTTGAATTAAAAAAAAAAAAAAATCTTCTGAGTTGGGTATACACGTGTATTACCAATCATTTCTAGACAAGAAAAAGCCAAGAGCCAGATTTTAATAATAAGAAAACTGGAACTGGATAGAGACATTAACAAAGGGAGAAATTCTTAGGAAGAAAAAAATGGTTTTAAAAAAAGTACTATAAATTTGGGGTAAAATAAAACTGTGTATAAATGGTCTATATGGTAAGGAAAGAATTCCATGGTCATCTCAGCCAGCATGGATTAGAATTAAAGTGGGTGAGAGGCCATATATTTTTTTGCCTAAAATACTCTCAGATCATTTTCTGTAAGGTTTTCTTCTTTCGAATCTTACTCTGGGTAAAAGTGATTTGAAATGTTAGGGCATAGAAAACACAAAGCATAGAAAATTCCTTATCTGTTAATTACAAATTTTATGTTTATCACATTTTATTTATTTAAAAAAATTTTTTTTTTCAACGTTTATTTATTTTTGGGACAGAGAGAGACAGAGCATGAACGGGGAGGAGCAGAGAGAGAGGGAGACACAGAATCGGAAACAGGCTCCAGGCTCTGAGCCATCAGCCCAGAGCCTGATGCGGGGCTCGAACTCACGGACCGCGAGATCGTGACCTGGCTGAAGTCGGACGCTTAACCGACTGCGCCACCCAGGCGCCCCTATCACATTTTATTTATATTTGTGCTATGCTAGGCATCTTTTCAAGAATTCAGAGGAAATCCTATTTTTTAGAAAATAAAACTAATCAAAGATGCAGGATAAAATCAGTAGGTATTTATGCAAAGAATTAAAAAAAACATAGGTTTAATATTTCAAAAATAACAAATTCATATTCACCATTTTTGATGCCCATAATGCACTATGTACTGACATCTACATGTCAAGACTATTCTAGTGATAGTTAATAGTAATAATTTAGGCTAAATAGCTTGCAATATATAAATTTTGTAGTTTAATGAATAAGAAATTAAGTTATATTCCAGGCTCAAAAAAATTATAATAAATATTCAGTTTAAAATAAGTATTATCATTTTCTTATTAAGTAATGTAGTTTTTTCCCTCCTAGTTTCATTGTATAATTGACGTAGAAGTCTGTATCAGTTTGAAGTGTATAACATAATGATTTATGTATATATTACAAAATGATAACCACAATTTTAGTTAACATCCATCAACTCACATAGTTATAATTTTTTTCTTATGATGAGATTTTAAGATCTATTATCTCAGTAACTTTCTAATATACAATATGGTATAACAGTTTTAAATATATATTACTTAGAAGACGTATTTCTAGGGGCGCCTGGGTGGCTCAGTCGGCTAAGCGTCCGACTTCAGCTCAGGTCACGATCTCACAGTTCGTGGGTTCGAGCCCCACGTCAGGCTCTGTGCGGACAGCTCAGAGCCTGGAGCCTGTTTCAGATTCTGTGGCTCCCTCTCTCTCTGACCCTCCCCCGTTCATGCTCTATCTCTCTCTGTCTCAAAAATAAATAAATAAACGTTAAAAAAAAATTTTAAGAAGACGTATTTCTAAAAGTAAAATTCTTTGACTTCATTGTAAAATTAGTTCAATCAATGATTTATCTCAACCCAATATGACAAAATACAACTTTATTTAAATTAGTTGTGGAAGGCAAAATGACCAAGGCTAAGCCTATATATTGTGTTTCCCTACTACTTTTATGAAAGAAATGACAGCAATATTTTACCTTTGTATAGTTCATGTATCACAAAAAAGATTTCAATATTACATAAAGTTAAACTCAAGTACAGAGAAGGATCTAACAAAATTTAACATGTTAATTATGCAACATAAACTAAGACATTTGGCTTTGCAGGGAAGACACTGAATTACACCCAGATAATCATGTCATTACTTGGTAGCAATGTATTTCTTTTTAAAAAATGTTTATGCTTTGTTATAAAAAATGCTTGCCACAGAAAGTTTATATTTGAATCTTTTGATATGGTTCAATTTCTGTTAAGTTTCAAGATGAAAAGTATCAGAGTGAGTGTAAACAGAATCCACCAGAACTATTCTTTTCATCATGGTGCTTTGGTGCTTTTGGCCTTGTCCTTATCATTAACAGATTTACAGCAGCAGCAGGACACTGTCAGCCTTTTCAAGTTTTGTCTTTTGACTTGCATTCTTTTCCTCTTCAGTGCAGTCAGAGGCCAAATTCCCACCTCCCCATCATCTTTGTCTCTGTATTGTCTTAAAAAAAATTTTTTTTAATGTTTATTTTTAGAGAGAGAAAGACACACACACACACAGAATGCAAGCAGGGCAGGGAGGGGGGGTGAGGCAGAGAGAGAGGCAGACACAGAACCCAAGGCAGGCTCTAGGCTCTGAGCTGTCAGCACAGAGTCCAATGCGGACTCGAACTCATGAGCCGTGAGATCATGACCTGAGCTGAAGTCGGACGCTTAGCCAACTGAGCCACCCAGGTGCCCCTCTTTATTCTCTTTTAAAGAGGATATTACATTCTGACAAAATATGCCAGTGATCAAGTTATATTTTAGCCATAGGATATAAATATCACCTCCTACTTTGTTTTATATGTTTTCCTCTTTCTCTGCTCTCTTTAGACTAATTAGTCCCCAGAATTGGAAATTCCTTGAATGAATCCGAATAATTCTTTATCTGAACAAGGGGCACCTGAGTGGCTCAGTCAGTTGAGCGTCTCTTGATTTTGGCTCACTCAGGTTGTGATCCCAGGGTTGTGGGATCCACACTGAGCTTGGAGCGTGCTTGAGATTCTCTCCTTCTGTCCTTCTCCCCTGCTCGTACCTGCTCTCACTCTCTCTCTCTCTCTCTCTCTCAAAAAAAAATTCAGCCTTTATAAACAAATGATTTTGACAGAAACCAGGCTCCTCCCACCTTTGTACAAGTTGCTCCTTGTTTTCAAATGCCAGCTAATCATCCATTTCACAGGACCATTCATAGATAACCTAATGCCACCTCTCTGCTTACTCCATGAAGTGATTGCTTGTGTCTGATTTCTTTGATCCGTTTGGTATGTCTGGCTTTATGTCTTTGAATATACTCGCATGTTTTGTCTCCCTCAGTAGATTATAAATGCCTCAATATTAGACACAATGAGTTCTAATCAAGGACAGACAATTATCTGCCTGCAGACCTATGAATTCAAATGAAATGCTTTAACTTTTTCCTAGTTCCAAAATCTTTTCCAAATCTCTTCCTTCTGATTCCCAGAACCACAGTCCAAGTTCCTGCCCCCATTCCCTCTCACCTGACTACTGCAATCATCTTCTAATTATTTACCTAGCCTTTGCTCTCTGACCTCTGGCAATTTACCTTCGATTTCCTTCTCAGTTATCTTTCTAAAGCAGTTCTGATGGTGTCACTCCCTAGGTTAAAAGCCCTCCATGGCTCTCCACTGCCTACAAATAAAATCTCCAGCTTGGCATTCAAGGGCTTTACAATCTGGTCCCATCCCCTCTTTCTAACCCCATTCCAACCACTTACTCCTCCTACTGTGTATTCTATGAGCTACTGTTTATCAAATACATCTTTGCACATTCCTATCCCATCTTTCTTCATTTTCTGTCTTTCCTAAGATGAGTTTCTCCACCTACTCTCATCATGCTCTTTAATAAAGGATCCCAGCTCAAGAGGATCACTTCTTACCTGGTTTGTTGTCCCTAGTCAACTTGTTTCTTCTCCGTTCCAGAGCATGTTGTTTATCTCCATTTTAGCATTTTCCATTTATACTGTGAGCAACTTTAAGACAGAGATGATGATTTATTTATCTTCCTATGGCTGTAGCGTAGCAAGTGAAGTGGGAGGAAGAGAATAATTTCCCTAGGAAATGAAGGAAATACTGCTAAAGACACAGGTAGGGGAAATTTCCCAATTTTCTTGGAAGAGGTTCAAATTCTTTAATTATTGACATCCACCTTACTTGTAGTAGCTTCTTGGAATTAAGAGTTCAGAGAATCTCTGGGGCACCTGGGTGGCTAGTCCAACTTTGGCTCAGGTCATGATCTCATTGGTGGTGGGTTGGAGCCCCACCTGGGGCTCTGCTGACAGCTCAGAGCCAGGAGCCTGCTTCAAATTCTGTTATCTCCCTCTCTCTCTGCCCCTCCCCCATTTGTGTTCTTTCTCTCTCAAAAATAAATATTAAAAAAAAAGTTCAGAGACTTTCTAATAAAAACTGTATTTTCTAGAAGTCAAGTTTGTAACTTTCCTGACATGGAAGTTAAGCCTCTAAATCAGCCTCATCAAGCTCAAAAAATCTGCAGCCTGCATCCAGGAACCAATTAATTTCTTCTGTGCAACCCCACCTAGCTATTAGAATTTATTAAAATACTACATTGAAGTCAAGATAACTGTGATCTCTTAACTTATTTGATCAATGGCGCAGTATTGTCCTGGGATCTACATCTAATCTTGCCACCACTGGTCAATTGGCACGTGGCTTTCAGGACATGAGCCGTCAGAAACAGCTCTGTAATTACTTGTGATTACTTGAGTCGAACGATTCCGGGCCTATGGTGGTTATTTCGCCTTCATTCACCATTAAACACTTGATTCTGTGCCAGCAGGATGTCCGGGTGCTTGGCCACTCGCACCTCGGACGCCGGCCCCCAGGGTCGTGGCCTCTCCGAACCAACGGTGGTCAGAGGCAAGCCGGCAGCATCAGCCGGAGGGAAACGAGGGCTGAAGTTGGAGAAGGGGGCGGACCAGGTCCGCCCGCCCAGCGCCGCGACGCCTGGCGGGTGTCAAGGCGAACCTCAACGCAGCCACCCCGCTGAGCCTCAGCACCCCCACGCCGCCGGATGCGCTCCAGGCGGCCGCGCGCGGCCAGGCGCCCTCCCGGCGCGGCAGTGGGGGGCGGGG